GGGGAGGATCACTTGAGTCCACGAGTTCAAGACCTGCCTGGGCAACATAGTGAGACCTCATCTTTACAAAACATTTAAAAATTAGTCGGGTGTGCTGGCACATGCCTGTAGTCCCAGCTGCTCCAGAGGCTGAGGCAGAAGAATCGTCTGAGCCCAGGAGGCGGAGTCTGAGGTGAGCTGGGATCATGCCCCTGCACTCTAGCCTGGGTGACAGAGTGAGACTCCCACTAAGAAAAAAAAAGTGGCAGTTAGGGTAAGGAGTGCTTATGTAGCAGTGACATACCAACCAGTCTGTAAGTATTTCCAATATTTATTTATTTACTTATTTATTGAGTTGGAGTCTCACTCTGTCACCCAGTCTGTCACCCAGACTGGAGTGCAGTGGCCGGGAGCGGCTCAGGCAATCCACTTAACCTCAGCCTCCCAAAGGCGCGGGATTACAGGCTGAGCCACTGAGCCTGGCTTTAAACAGTTGGTACGGTTACACTGGTTTGTGAATATCAGCCTTGGTACTGTATCAACTGGCAAGACAGTGTCCAGTTTGCCACCCTAACTGAGTAGCATGAAGTGAAGGACTTAACTTCTCTAGCCTGTTTCCTTCTCTGTAGAAAAGGGGCTTCCAGGCCTCAACTCCTGTACTCCTTATAATCATGTCGAGAGATTATCGCCTTTGTACAGATGAAGAGACTGAGGCACAGAGGGAATAAATAAGTAGCACAAGATGATCATACCATTTGGTACTTGCTGAACTAGGATTTGAAGTCATGTCATCATACCTCTTAAGAAATAACTTCTTGCCTCAAATTTTTTTGAAGGTTCAGTAGGCTCGTTGATATAAATTACTTCATGTGGCAGGTACTCTGTCAATGACTGTTACTATTCCCACTCCCACCCCTCTATAAACTCCAGCTATTTCAGACTCCTCACCTCTCCCTGTGCATACCAGGCCTTTTCACATCTGTGGGTCTTAGTATGCTCTGCTGTTGCTGTCTATAATATCCTCCCTTGCCCGCCTGTAGAACCTCTCTGCACCCTTCAAAGCCCACTTCAAACATAAGAATACACTTCTTGGCTGGGCACGGTGGCTCATGCCTGTAATCCCAGCACTTTGGAAGGCCGAGGTGAGAGGATTGCCTGAGCCCACGGGTTTGAGACCAGCCTGGACAACTTGGTGAGACCTCATCTCTACAATAAATCAAGAAAAATTAGCTGGGAGTGATGGCGCATGCCTGTGGTTCCAGCTACTTGGAAGGATTGCCTGAGCCTAGCTGGCTAAGGCTGTGGTGGCCGTGAGTGAGTCACTACACTCTAGCCTGGGCGACACAGTGAGACTCCAACTCAAAAAAAATAATAAACTTCTTTCCAGGCCAACTATTGCCTCTGTCCCTTCCAAGAAGCCTTCTCTGACTCCTTCCCCTCCCTCTTAGTCAACAGACCCCTCCTACACACACACACACACACACACACACACACACACACACACACACACACACACACGTCTCCCTCCACATTCCCTGATGGCACAGAACCTTGCAGAGCCAATTAGTAAAGGGCTGGCAACCTCTTACACACCAAGTCCTGGGCATTGAAGAATACAATAGTGGAAAATACATGGTCCCTTCAAAGCCTGGAGATCAGATTTAATGCTGAAGACTAAAGAGAAAAAGATTCAGACTGACCCCTGGAGGAGTCTGAGGCACAAGAGCACTGGCATCACTAGCAAGGAAACTTTTCTTTTTTTTTTTTGAGTTGGAGTCTCACTCTGTTGCCCAGGCTGGAAGGTTGGAGTGCAGTGACATGCTCATGGCCACCGCAGCCTGGACCTGCTGGACTCAGGGATCCTTCAACTTCAGCCTTCCAAGTAGTTGGAACTACAGGGGCGTGCTACCACGCCCAGCTAATTTTTTGATTTATTGTAGAGATGAGATCTTGCCAAGATGCCCAGGCTGGTCTCCAACCCCTGAGCTCAGGCAATCCTCTCACCTCAGCCTCCCAAAATGCTGGGATTATAGGCTTGAGCTACCATACCTGACCTAAGAGAACTTCTTAAAGACATTTGGACCTGGGCTTTTTTTTTTTTTAGTCAGAGTCTCACTGTTGTCACCCAAGCTGGAGTGCAGTGGCACACTCACAACCATCACAGCCTCAACCTGCTGGGCTCAGTTGATCCTTCTGCCTCAGCTTTCCAAGTAACTGGAACTACAGGCATGCGCCACCACACCCGGCTAATTTTTTCTGATTTATTGTAAAGATGGGGTCTCAGCAAGTTGCCCAGGCTGGTCTTGAACCCCTGGGCTCAGGCAATCCTCTCACCTCAGTCTCCCAAAGTGCTAGGATTACAGGCTGAGCCACTGCACCCAGCCAGGACCTGGGCTTTTAAGGACAGAGGGAGTCCGGGCTCGGTGGCTCAGCCTGTAATCCCAGCACTTTGGGAGGCTGAGGCAGAGAGGATTGCCTGAGCCCAGGGATTTGGGATCAGCCTGGGCAATTTGGAGGGACATCGACTCCTTAATAAAAAAAAGAAAAGAAAATTAGCTAGGTAGGAGTGGTAGCACATGCCTGTGGTTCCAGTTACTTGAAAGGCTAAAGTGGAAGGATTGCCTGAGCCCAGCAGGTCAAGGCTGCAGTGGGTGACCGTGCCATTGCCCTCCGGCCTGGGCAACCGTGAGACTCTAACTAAAAACAAATTTTAAAATAAAATAAAAGATTATTTGTTGTTTAACAGAAGCAAGATTTTTTTCTTTTTTTTTTTGAGTTGGAGTCTCACTCTGTCACCCAGGCTGGAGGGCAGTG